ACAGTATTAATACAATATTACATAAAATTAATGTTTTGTCATCAGTTCTTGATACCGGTCTTCAAAATTTCAGATTATATAGACCAGACATTTTGGTAGAGAGTAAAGGCTAGATAAAAAATTTCTATTACTTTCCCCATACGAAACACGACAGCATTAAGCTGCTATTTAACGCTGGTATTCTGTGAGAGCGTGGTCCTTCCCCGGTCGAGCCGACCCATTCGTGCTACAACTATACTACTAATATAGCTGCAGCATGGCTCTACCACGTAAAAAGAATGTATATTTAGTTTATTGATTGCTCGACAGAAGGCAGCACTGCCGCTAGTTTGCCGTCGCGTCGTTATCGCTGATACATGTTAATACGAATTTATAATTTATCAGCAATTAGTGTGCAATTTCTGCTGTCACTAGTCTTCTGCAAGTTATGTAATAGCCCTGCCGATCTGCGCTCATCAAAACGCGAGCAAAACGAATCTCGAATCGGAGATAATTCCGTACGGAGAATTACCGTACGTGTGTGGCGGGACATAGATTTTATATGGACTTGCTGCGTTCGGAATTCTGAACGGTAGGCGTATTACGTATTTTGCAGAAGGCTAGCGATAGCGAAATTAAAACAATAATTGCTGATAAATTGCAGATTCGTATTATGTATCAGCGATAACCAAACTAACTAACGACATCGCTGCCTTGAGTTACAATTTCAATGACAAAAAATGTAATTAATATGATTATGAACTAGGCTAGGGCATCGAATGGAGGAAGATCGGTAGGGGCGGCAAAATTAGAATAGCCTACTGGCGGCAAATATGTAAATTCGCCACTGCTTAGTCCTCACGGCTGACAACGCATCTGCATTTTAATTCGCAAACGAAGTTAGATGTAGATGTTTATAGGCCACAGCAAACACTTACCATCAGTTAGACTGTGCGCTCGTCTGTCACCCTTCTTCTATAAAAAAAAATCAAAAATTGAACGAACTCTAAACTTATTCTTTTTATTTTTTATGAACGCATCCAATCCAATAATTTTTTAAACTATTTTAGAAATACGTAGCGTATTATAGGTACTATTCCGTTAACTCACCGCCGATTAAGGAATTCCCGCGCAGTTTAACCGCCTTTCTTCGAGTTTGTTTTACGTCATTCTATTCCTTTTAATCCAAATAATAATACACTAAGCAGATAATTACTAGATTAACTATGTTTATGTTTTAGTTTGTGTTCTTTTGTTTGTGTTCCTTGTGTGTTCAGTCTTATTGTGTATGCGTACTGGTGTTTTTGGTATCGTGTGGCTTTTATAACAAATTGGTTGACACAAGTCACGGCACGTAAGTCTAGCGCTGAACGAAATGTGGAGGCGACGCGCACGAATTGAATTGCATGTATGCGACTGGAGAGCCATTCAGCGTGTGCGTGCGATACTCACGAGCCAATTAGCGCAACTTTAGCGCAATAAGATCAGCGCGATTTAGTTGCGCAATAAGCCAATCAGCGAGATTTATGCGTAATAACGGTCACAGCTAGACTTTTGTACCGCAACTTGTATCCTTTTGCTTTTGTGTATATCCTGTAGAAATTAAGTACGTACTTTTACTTTTCGTCTGATTGATATATTTTAATGTATGTTAATGATATATTTATAGGGTTCCGTACCTCAAAAGGAAAAAACGGAACCCTTATAGGATCACTTTGTTGTCCGTCTGTCTGTCTGTCTGTCTGTCTGTCTGTCTGTCAAGACCCATTTTCTCAGGAACCCGTGGAGGTATCAAGCTGAAATTCATATCAAATACTCAAATCTACTGTCCCTTGGAGCTGTGAAAAATCAACATCAAAAATACAGCCGTTTATGCCGCAAATTTCCGACATTCGCAAGGGAATCAAAACCTACAGGGTACTTCCCGTGAACTCAGAATCTTAAAATTTGATACGAAGCAACGTATTATAGCACAAATAAAGGAAAAATTGCGAAAAGAATAAATTTTTAGTTACATCATATAATAAAAATATTTTTAATAATTTAAAACTTATATACCTACGGATTTCTTCTCGGTGCGCGAGTCCGACTCGCACTTGGCCGGTTTTATTTTTGAGTTCTTAGCAAAATATCCAGTTTATGGTACGATCTCCAAAAAAAAATAAAGTTGGCAACCCTGACTGGCAGCCCTATTAACTTAGTTCATTCATAGCTCATGACAGGTGTAGCCGAAGTGCGGCAGTGCATACAAGTAGCAAAGATTAATTCGCGCGCTAATCACAATCTGTCGTTTTGCGCGGATGCGTATTAGTGTCGTGACAGTGACAAAAATCACAAATACAAAGCACAGATATCTTGGCGGGTAACGTCGCTTGTCAGTCGGCAGCGCGGGAAACGCATGCGCGATCGATGACAGATAGATGAATGAGCGCTATCAGAGAAGTGCGTTCTGAACGCACGGAATTCTTCGCAGTCGCTTGTGTTACGCCAAGGATTGTTTGTGGCTCGGTATGTAAATGCTATTTAACCCTCGCTTCTGCTTGAATAATATTCAAGCATTTAGAACAAACCGACAGCACACGTGCAGTTTCGATGTTCAGACCTAAGGGCTTGCACTTTTAAACGCAAAGGGCTAAGAAACGATTTTTCAATCATCAAATTAAAGTTTTTCATAAGATAAAATTAAAAGTTTTTGACCAAAACATTTTAAACGCGACAAAATCCGTAAAAGTAGTTTTACTTGATGTGTAGTATTCGCGCATTAAGTAAGTATGTGAAGATTTTTGAATAAAATAATTATATTTTATTTGGTGAATAACTTTTATCTTAAGTTGTAAGGGAAACAAAAAATAATTTGATGGTTCATAGATTAAGTTTGTTATGGCTATATGGCTAATATAATTTTAACAGTGGTAGAGCCACGCGGCAGCTTTTGCTGTCGCACGGATGGGCCGGCTCGAACCGGGGTGGTACCACGACCTCACAGAAAACTAGCGTGAAGTAGAGGTTTACCTCTGCGTTTCCCTTGGTGAGTGCAGGTGGCCGGAGGCCCTTTTTACTGGAAATGAGGCATTCCATCTTAGTCCTCACGGGTGACAAGGCATCTACATTTTGATTTGTAACAGAGGATAGATGTAGATGTCTATGGGCCGCAGCAACCATTTACCATCAGGTGGACTGTGTGCTCGTTTGTCACCCTTATCATATAAAAAAAATATGAGTTTGGAATTGAGGAATACATTTTTTACCATTATTTGTGCATACAAACTAAACTAACTAGTTACTTTGAATTAACAATTTTAATGAGAATTTCAAAAAGGAAATAAGGAATATTTGACGAGTGATAAGATGAATTGGATTCTAATTAGCAACTTAAGATGATTCTCGACTTTCTGACTCGCGAAGCTTTCTCATTAGGAATGGAAAGTGTAATCGCATTTGGAACGTTCAGCCGGATCGTGACGAGAGCTATGTGCGCTAAAAATTCTGACATTTTAAAGAAATATTTTAAATTTCGAATAAGAATAATCATTCTAAAATAAAAATATAAAGATTTTCAATTTAATTCGAAACATGCAGTGTGCAGATTCCATATTTAAATTATTGCTACATTGAGACTAGGTACTTCAAAACATTTAAAAAGTATGTCGCAATAACGAATTATTCTTCCGCTCATTATCCTATTTTATTTCGTTTCTTGTTGTTAATTATATTGGTAATAACTGATGATCCTAGAGCAAGCTCTTGTCAGGACATAGTAGGCTCTATTGTAGTCGTAAACTCATTAGCATCACATTTCGCTCTTAGACTTTGTTTAGTACCTTGACTAAGAGTAGCGTAATCAGAAACTCCTTAATTAACAGGTTTTCTTAAATTCCACGTTACTAAATTCAGAGAGAAGTCTTTTAGCCGTCAATTGTGCCAGCCGGTACCAATAACTTATTTATCATTGCATTTTAGGACTACAAGTAACATAATAGCATTACCAATATATCAACTAAAAAGTACAATAAATAATTTAAAATTAAAAATTTTGTACAGCCGACTTCAATAGAAGTTATTTAAGAATAACTCAAAAACTATTGGTTCTGACCTTGATCAAATTCATATGGGACCATACGAGAACTTTCAGCTTTCATATAAAAAAAGAATCATCGAAATCGGATCACCCAGTACAAAGTTATGAGGTAACACAAATAAAAAAAAAACAAAAAAAATACAGTCGAATTGAGTACCGTCTCCTTTTTGGAAGTCGGCAGAATAATTGTACTCATTGCTACAATCGTTACAGTACATTTTGTGACTGATCAAGCTTCAAAGGTTACAATAAATAACATTTCAATGATGATTTAAAATATAATTAATAGACATTAGTTTATTTTCCCAAGGAATGCCACAAAACACGGTCCTAAGCCGCCTGCATCAATCGACTTCTTGTATATCTTACGCAAGTAATCTAGCTTAAATAAGGTTCACACAATATGGACCAAAGCCTGCAATCATAATTTTAAATGCAAATTTTAATAATTAATTATTTATTATTTAGGATTTTTTATTATTATATGAATTATCAAATTTAGGTTTCAAATTTGAATTATTTCTTCCACAATAATTGACGATTTGGTTTAAGTAAGTCTAACTCAAAACTGAACGAGGAAGAGAAGAAAAAACGGCGACGTGAATATATAAATTAAGCATAATATTGAAGAGCAAGAGCTAAATTAGATGCTATGGCTATAGAAGAAAAACGTAGAAAAGATAGAGAAAGATATCACCGTTATAAACAAGATGATTTAATGAAGACTATTAAAGTTTTTACTTTTAGATACTTTGTCTCACTTTACTATTACGTATAGAAACAAAGGGCTCCCTAAACGTCTTATATTAAATATCGAAATATACATAATAGTTTCATTGACAAATTTTGCTTCCCGTTTGCCATTCGGTGCCACACATTCTTAGACCTGCTCGAGGACACTCGAAAATAAATAAATAGATAACATGACCGTAGTCGAACTGACCGTCCATTAGCCGCGGCTGATGCCACTCGTCCCGCCACTCCTGACCCTCCATCACATATCCCAGTTGCCCGCCGATTTATTTTTTCAACGCGACACGATAAATCAGTTTTTCCGCGCGTTAATCAAGCAGTGCGCGCGCGCAGACCGCGGCGCGAGAGGAACACTTCTGTCGTCGGCGTGCGTCGACACACGATCACCGCCCTGTACCGCCCACCGCCCAATCCCAACACCTCCAGCTTTATTTATGTAAGAGCCAGTTATGTACCTTGTAACGATCTACCGCCTTGTAGGTATAGCTTCCAAGAATTTGAAAGTTGGCTCCAATATTATAATAAAATATTTAGAACGTACGTTATTTTATAGATCCTTGTTTGATATGTTATAATCTTTGAATACTAAGATAAAACATAAAACAATACCTACAAACAATATTTTCTACCTAAACCATTTGACTAAATTAACAGTGCTGAAAAAAATGAGAACAAGCGATAGATTATCCAACGTGAAAACAAATTTATTTAAATTAAAGTTATTATTTTATTTTTTATAGAAGAATGAAATGAAGCAAACGAACACACATTCTGCCTATTGGTAAGTGGATGCTGTGGCTATAGGAGTAGGTAAAACTACTAAGTAAATGTTGTCTATAGAAAATACCAGACTGATATCATATTTTTTATAGGATAAGGGACCCTGCACTCAATACCCATTTGTGAATAAAATGCAGATGGGTTGTCAGCCGTGAGGACTAAGATGGAATGTCTGTTTTCTAATAAAAATGATCTCCGGTTCTCTACACTCACCAAAGAAAACACAGCAGCATTAAGCTGCTATTTTGCGCTGCAGTCATATTTTCGGTCTAGACCGACGACGAAAAGCAGCATCAAAGTTTCCTTAAATACAATCGTATAAATGGTGACAAACGAGCACACACTACACACAAGTCTGATCGTAAGTGGACGCTGTTGTCCATAGAAATCTACATTTAATCTCAATTAAAAATCAAAATGTAGATGTGTTTTCCCCTCTGACGACTAAGATGAAATGCCTCGCCTCCAGTAAAAAGGATCTCCGATTCTTTACACTCACCATACGAAACACAGCAGTTTTAAACTACTACTTTACGCTTGCATTCAGTGAGAGCTTACCTCTTCTCCCCGACCCATTCGTGCTACAACCATGATAAAGCTACAACGTGGCTCTACCACATTTAAAGGCGATTAGTGCTGCAATCGCCCACCCGTCTGCAAAGTTTCACGAAAATTTCAACGGAAGGGACAATTCCATGTCTAATAGACTATTAGTAATAGTGGACTTTTGCAGGCATATGATTTTACGTGGTAGAGCCATGATGCAGCTATATTACTGGTATAGTTGTTGCACGATAGGGTCGGCTCGACTGGGGAAGGACCACGCTCTCACAGAATACCAGCGTAAAATAGGAGTTTAACACTGCTGTGTTTCGTATGGTGAGTGTAGAAAACCGGAGACCAACGGGTGAGAACGCATCTGCATTTTGATTCGTAATCGAGGATAGCTGTAGATGTCTATGGGCCACAGCAACCACTTACCATCAGGTGGATTGTGTGCTCGTTTATAACCCTTATCCTATAAGAAAAATATGAAAAAAAAGAAGAAGATTTGTAAATAGAATAAATGGTTCCTAGGTAGATATTAACGGCTAATCGCTTGCAGCTAATCGTTCCAACTCTATGAAGAATTCATTAGGTTGTAGGGTTCTTTTTCCGCGTAGGATACTGTTCTGAGTAGGTAACCGTTACTATTACAGGCTATTAAAGTGCACTGCTGAACATAGACGTCTCCCATAGATAGTCATAGTTTGGATACTTGCCATAGTTGCCACGCTTGGCAAACGGGTTGAAAATTGTAGTTTTTCATTTCTAGTCATTAGGAAGACGCTGCTGCCCTGATTTGTTTCCCTCTGTCGCCTCTTGCGACACCCACGGGATGATACGGTATAGTGGATATTCTTACATCGCCACTACACGGATAGTTACTATCGGCTTTTAAATAAAACTAATTTTACGGATTTTATCGCGTATATTAACTTATTTTATATTCCCGACGTTTCGAGCGCTCTTCAGCACACATGGTCACGGGAGGGGGGGGGGCTGAGGTGTTTTTTTTTATAAGATAATGGTGACAAACGAGCACACAGTCCACCTGATGCTAAGTGGTTGCTGCGGCCCATAGACATCTACATCTATCCTCGTTTGCGAATCAAAATGCAGATGCGTTGTCACCCGTGAGGACTAAGATGGAATGCCTCATTTCCAGTAAAAAGGGCCTCAGGCCACCTGCACTCGCCAAGCGAAACGCAGAGGTAAACCTCTACTTCACGCTGGTATTCTGTGAGATCGTGGTACCACCCCGGTTCGAGCCGGCCCATCCGTGCGACAGCAAAAGCTGCCGCGTGGCTCTACCACTGTTAAGACGTCCAAAAAAGTGTATGACGTCCCAATGTCATAGTTAACCACGGCTACCTTCAGATTAAAAATTATTAATTTTGTTCCGATCCACTCAGTATGAACTTACATTATCATGACGTCTTGCAGTTGTATGCTTGGGTTGGGATTTAATTTTATTAATTATGGGATCCCAAACAGATGGTTGGGATCCCATAATCCAGCCATCTTCTCTATTAAAATTAGGATGTTTTTTGATTTCAATAGCCTCGCGAATCATCCTTGGAAGGAATCAGTGTTCTTTAGCGAGGATTTGTGGTCTATCAAATCTAATGTAGTGACGGGGGCGATCCTGTACGTGTTCACAGACTGCACACTTCCCGGAGCGTCGATTCTTCAAATCAGCTATGTGTTCTTTAACGCGGGTTTTTATGAATCTTTTAGTATGTTCTATATAAGAGAGACCACATTCACAATCAAGCTTGTACACTCAAACATCTTGCAGAGAGACAGTGACTTGACTGATGGTAAAAACTGACAAATCTTCTTCTGCGGCTTGAAGTATGTTTTAATGGAAGCCCGCTTCAAGATGTAGCCAATCTTGTCAGTGCCACCTCTGACATATGGCAGTACAGCAGGCACTCGCTCGACTGTGGCCGGCTTCACTCGTTCACTGTGACGTAGGCGCGGGACCCGGAGCTTATTGTCGTGCAAAACTTGCTTGACGTGTTGGAGCTCGGCAGCCAGGTGTTTTGCCTGTTCCAACTCTTGACGAATTTATTAGGTAGAGTTTCTTTTCTGTGTAGAAACGTCTAGGTACAGCGTAAACAAAGTTCAAATATATCTTATTTTGAAGATGTAAACATTTGTTACATATGACAAAAAATCATATTTTCGTAGGGTCTGGGGTTTTGTTTTTATTTTGTTTCATTACTTGTAGGTTATGTAGTAAAATCACTCGTTCTTGGGATAAGTTGTTTCAATAAATAGAAAAGAACACAAAAGGATGCCGTTTTTTAGTTATTATTAAATACAATAAAATAAGATTTAAAAAAATACAACTTAAACTTTTCTAATTGTTTAATTATTTTATGCAATTATTAATAAAATGTCATCTAGAAAAGCAACAAAACCCAAGTAACACATTATTGTCATTATGTGGGTGCAACAATCTACTGTCCTAGTTGTAATCCTTGTAATCTAATTGTAGTCCTTTTTGTAAATCGAGAGAACAGCCAAGTGTCAAGTTAAATTAATTCACGAAAATAAAAACAAGAAATATATCCACAAACAGAATAGAATAGAATAGAATACCAAGTTAAGTCTCCTTTTGAAACAGGCAATGATCAAAAACAATACAGCCTGTGTCCGATATTATTCAAATATTTTGTTTAGTTTAATAACGCAGCCTATTCAATCGATTTTCTAAATAGATTTCTTTTATTCAGTATTAATCTCTACAGATTCGCCTCAATATTTCAATATTATGAGTTTTTTTTTTTTTTTTTTGTTATACTGAAGGCTATTTATTACAAAAAATTGTCTTCATTATCTAATGCCATAGACAAATTACATAAAAATATTTAAAAACGTTTTGTTTTTGCTATGGTAAAAGCATTAGTTTTCCGTTTTAAAAAATGTTTATATGATGACGTCCCATACATTACAGATATAAAAACCATTTAATTATATTTATAATTTATCGTTATATTACCTACATGTTTTTGTATAAATGTTTCGAACGATGTCAATTACCCAATTTCATACATCCCCTTTGAACATTAATATTATTATTCCGGTGCGAAGTGTGTAGAGATTCAGAAGGTAGGTATTATAACTACCTGTGAGGCATTTCATCTTCGTTCTCCGAGGTGACAACGCACCGGTAGCCTTCTCTGTTTAAAGTTAGTTTTACGTGTCCATGGGCTGCAGTAGTTACGTACATCAGATGGTTCTGTAAGTTCGTTACAAATTTTCAGGTTTAAAAAAATGATTGTATTTTGTTATTAAATTTAAGAAAACTGCTTTCGCTCTACAGTTAGACCATAAAAAGAGTGCACTAGATACGATTAAAAGTGAAGTTATTTTTATCACATATAACACGTCGGTCATCGTGTGCCTGTAAATATATCTAATGCTTACACATAGCCCTGTGATTGGACCTGTCCGTCGACACTTCGTGTAAACACAAGCAAACTGGCAACACTGCGATTCATATGAGCTCATTGGTGAGTATTTATATTAGAAGCTATAAAGAAGTTATTTACTATATGGTTACAAGTAAATAATTGAATATTATGGATACGTTAGATAAAAGTGTGGTTTGCATGAAGATGTGACTTTGATTAAGAAAAAATGGTGGGAAAAAATAGCGACACTCAGAAAGAATTAATGTGGTGAAAAGTTTGAACAAGAGGAGCAAAGCAAAATACTGCAGCAGTGTGTTGCAGAGTCAGGAACGCCCTAAACGAAAGATTATTATCGACGATTAACTGGTAGGTACCAGGCTCGTTGCTGCCGCAGAAGAAATAATTGTGGAAGTATCGTTTTAAATTTGGAACAGTTATAGTGTTTAATTTGGAATGATAATACATTCATTGAAATTGAATGATATATTATAAATTTT